ATTCGCACGCGGAGCATGTATAGAAAACGGCACTGTAAGCAGGACGAGTTCGCACGGAGCTTCCTGGAGCGTCCCCGATTGGCGGCACAGGCCGGAGGCCTCCGCAACATGCTCGGTGTCCCAGATGGGCCCAGAGCGGCCCACTGGGGCCAAGACTACGGAGCATACGCCGCGATCAGAAGATCGCGATCATGAACATAAGTTTTCGACGGTCCGCGCGGGTTTCTGGGATCTGCGCCTGACCCCCCTCCCTGGCGCGCGGAGCGCGCCATGGGTGGCGCCCCAGGCGCCTCCAGGGGGGGCCCAGCGCAGATCCAAGAAATCCGCGCGGACCGCCAACAGTTTATGCTCATGCGTTTTTCGTTTGTCGAGGAACAGACGCCGCGATTGAACGATCACATCGTCGGATGTGGGGACCCAGGTTACTGCGACCCGATGCTCCTTGGCGGGAGTCGTCGCGAGGGGGGCGGTCCCCTGTGCTGACTCAATCTCTGCTTACGCTTGGTCGGTCGATGCTTCCACCAGGGGAGGGAGGCCATCTAGGACCACTTCTGCTTCGTGCTCGTGCTGATCTCCTGCGCGCCTCAAGACAGCGTCTCCGCTGGGCCCTTCGGAAATCGAAGGTGCTGCGGTGAGATGCCAGAATGCTTCGGCTTCTACCTCCGCGCTGGCGTCATGACGTGCGTGATTCTCGCCTTGAAATGGCAAGAATATTGCGGGAGATCTAAGCCGGAATGGACCTCCGCCGAGGCCCTGTAGCTCGGGCGATCTGGGCTCGTGCATAACCACGAGTCGTTTTCGGCCATGCGTCTTTTCTGTGCAGGCAAGGCGAACGTCGCTGAGGCAGACGGAAGGGCAAAATTCCAGAGTGTACGAGCATCTCGGCGGCACAGCACGAAGGCTCGATATTGCAATGTCCGACCTTCGTTGGGCAGCCTTGGCATTCTCCCAATGATTGCCGCGCCGACGGACCATGACTCGCATGGACAAACCCACGAGATCCGACGTCGTGATTTTTTTCAAAACGGGGTCACGGGAAGTCCCCACCCTTTCCCCAGGGCTGGCTTTTCATCCCGAGACGACTGGCCCGGCAAAAGCCTCCGAGGGCCGAAACTAGCAACAAAAACTCCGTCCTGTTTTTTTCAGCACGTTAGATCTCTGGGAACCCGTTTGCAGCTCGACTGCCCTGGCCAAGCAGCTCAAACAGAGTTACAGCTCCCGTGAGTGTCTCGGCTCGTCGGGGGCAGCGGCCTCCACCGTCCTCGTGGAGACGCACGAGGAGGAGGAGGAGGAGGAGGAGGAGGAGGAGGAGGAGGAGGAGGAGGAGGAAAAGGAGGAGGAGGAGGAGGAGGAGGAGGAGGAGGAGGAGGAGGAAGGGGGGTCAAGGCGGGGGCGGCCAGCGCAACCCATTGCAGGGCACGGGGGAGACGCACGAGTGCAGGGTCAGGGGGCGGCCAGGCCTCCAGAAGCATTCTCATGAGCTCCACGGGGTCCACAACTGAGGCGTGTCCGTCAACGCTCGGGCACACGCCGCGCTGACATGGAGCGGGGATCGGTGGATCTGGCGCGTTGGCGCCAAAACCATGGATCGGGGAGGGCGCCCCCGAGACATGCGTAGGCCTGTGCCGCCTGATTTGCTTGCCATCGCTCGGGCGTCCATTCCCTGTGCATTTTTCGGTTTCGTGCGTGCTTTTTGTTTTTTGCTCGATGGTCCAGGATGGTCCTCGATGGTCCTCGCCGAGAAAAATGCACACGTCCGAGCGATGCCAAGTTTGGTGACGGGCGCGCCGATTTTACCTAGCAGCGAAGACTGATAGGTCTCTAGTAGGGTCAAAAGAGAGCATCATGACTCCCCAAGGGGTCTGGGCGGGATCCGGACGGGTGCCCCGGGAATCCGGGGAGGGTGCCCCAGGAATCCGGGGACTCCTTTCTTAGCCAACAGTAACACACTTCGCGGTCTTCGAGTTCCCAGAACTCCATTCCTGGGCATGATTTTGGATGCCCGGAGCCAACTGTAGGCCACTTCGTGGTCTTCGAGTTCCCAGAACCACTCCTGGGCATGATTTTGAATACCCGGAGCCAACTTTAGGCCACTGCGTGGCCTTCGAATTCCCAGAACTCCATTCCTGGGCATGGTTTTGAATGCCCGGAGCCAATTGTAGGCCACTTCGTGGTTTTCGAGTTCCCAGAACTGCCTTCCTGGGCATGATTTTGAATGCCCAGAGCCAACTGTAGGCCACTTCGTGTTCTTCGAGTTCCCAAAACTCCATTCCCGGGCCACACTTTGAATGCTGATGCAGGCTGAGGCTGAGGCTGATGCAGGCTGAGGTGAGGCTGAGGCTGAGGCTGAGGCCGAGGCTGAAGGCAGACTGAGGCTGAGGCTGAAGCAGGATGAGGCTGAGGCTGAGGCAGGCTGAGGCTGAGGGTGAGGCAGGCTGATGCTGAGGCAGGCTGAGGCTGAGGCTGAGGCTGATGCAGGCTGAGGCTGAGGCAGGCTGAGGCTGAGGCAGGCTGAGGCTGAGGCTGAGGCTGAGGCTGAGGCTGAGGCTGAGGCTGAAGGCTGAGGCTGAGGCTGAGGCTGAGGCTGAGGCTGAGGCTGCAGGCTGAGGCTGAGGCTGAGGCTGAGGCAGGCAGGCTGAGGCTGAGGCCAGGCTGAGGCTGAGGCTGAGGCTGAAGCAGGCTGAGGCTGCTGAGGCTGAGGCTGAGGCTGAAGGCAGACTGCTGAGGCTGCAGGCCTGAGGCTGAGGAGGCTGAGAGGCAGGCTGAGGCTGAGGCTGAGGCTGAGGCTGAGGCTGAGGCTGCTGAGGCTGAGGCTGAGGCAGGCTGAGGCTGAGGCAGGCTGGGGAGGCTGAGGCTGAGGCCTGAGGCTGAGGCAGGCTGAGGCTGAGGCTGAGGCAGGCTGAGGCTGAGGCTGAGGCAGGCTGAGGCTGAGGCAGGCTGATGCTGAGGCAGACGCTGAGGCAGGCTGAGGCTGAGGCAGTCTGAGGCTGAGGCAGGCTGAGGCTGAGGCTGAGGCTGAGGCTGAGGCTGGTGCAGGCTGAGGCTGAGGCAGGCTGAGGCTGAGGCCGAGGCTGAAGGCCGACTGAGGCTGAGGCTGAGGCTGAGGCAGGCTGAGGCTGAGGCTGAAGCAGGCTGATGCTCAGGCAGGCTGAGGCTGAGGCTGTGACTGCGACTGCCGTTGCCGCTGCGACTGTCATCGCGAATGCAACTGCGACTACGAGAACAGCAGAATTCTACAACTGGATTCTCATCTGAATCTCAAAGGGAATGCTTCCAAATATGCTTCTACACATCGCTGTTAGGTTGCTCTGCCGGGATAATTATATGGAGACGGAACCTGTCGCTAATCCGCGCGCCTTGGCGGGTTCCGGAAACGATGAACCCAACAACCTCTCTCCAAGGGCACATTCTTGCTTCCGCTGGTTTCCACCGGCCTTCCGCCAACGGAGCCGCCCTCTTTCTACTCCAGCCACCCTTCCACCCTTCCGCCGCGGAAGAGATGCCAAATTCTCGATCCCTCGACGACCAAGACGAGGCCCTTTCTGGAATGCATCATGTGTCGCCGCGCCGTTTGTTCTCGACACGCCCAAGTGGACGACGCCGACACCACGGCACATCCACGGCAAGCCCTGAGCCCGGCTCCGCGCCCTAAGAGATGAAGCCGGCACCGCTGCAAACCAACCCAAGGCGAGCCCACCGCGTCCGAGGCGGCGTCTGCCCTGGTAGTCGAGGCGCTCTCCCCAAAACGTAAGGCCGCGCGTCGGAACAGACGGCGCGGCGGCACATTTGCGCTTCCGCGAAAGTTTTTGTCGCAACCGCAGGCGAGAGCGCCGGCGGCGAGTCAGGTCCGAGCGGGCCGCGCAAGAGCCGAATTACCTAACGCCGACGGGCCGGCGACCTCAGGCAGCGCCTCGGCGGGCGGGCTGGCGCGAGGGGGGTGCAGGCTGCAGCTGCCAGGGATCAACTTCCGCGAAACGCGCAGCGTCGTTATTCGTCAAGCTCATGGCGCCACGGGCGCCTGGCGTGCGGGCACCGCGGGTGCTCGGGGCGTTCTCTGGCCGGTGCCTCCTGCTGCGGATCTGTGGCCCCCTGAGGCCACTGTCCAGCTTGCAGACGACGCACAAGTGGCGTGCCGACCTCCTCCTCCTCCTGCTCCTGCTCCTCCTCGTCCTTGTTATCATCGTCCTCCTCCTGCTCCTGCTGCTCCTGCTGCTCCTCCTCCTCCTCCTCCTCCTCCTTCTCCGCCTGCTTCTCCTCCTCCTCTTCCTCCTCCTCCTCTTCCTCCTCCTACTCCTCCATCCAGTCTCCATATAAATAACTCCTCCCTGTCGCACCCCGAGGCGTGTCGGTAGGGCGGGTCGGGTGTTTCGCCTGAGACCCCATCACAATTCATGATCATGAAGCTGATGAGTTGCAAGAACTGCGCAGATGGAGGGCGGGCCGTTCTCAAAATGTGGCTCTCGCCTGCCTTAAGACCTTATAGCAGTTGCAAGGTTGCTTACGGCTGACGTCCCAGAAAAAAGGTTTTGTGGCACATTGTAACAAAAATGCCCAGGGCGAAACACTTACGTTAATTCGCTGTGCTGAAGTCCCAGGAATGAGGATCGTCAGGGCGCAACAGTAATTTCTGTTTCGCGGCGTTGAGGTCACAGGAATGGTGTTCTGGTACGGTTCAGGATTTTCAGACGATTGTCTTCCAACGGGGCAGTTCCCTCAGTGGTAATGATCCCTTGTAGGGACCTATGAAGATGGAACTTGGAGGGAGGGTATAATACAACATCGTTGATGAGTCTTTGGTTTACACTGGTCCTCCTCCTCCTCCTCCTCCTCCTCCTCCTCCTCCTCCTCCTCCTCCTCCCCCTACCACTCCTCTTTCTCCTCCACTTCTCCCTCCCCCACCTCCATCTCCTGCCCCTCCTCCCACTCCTCCTCATCCTCCACCCATCCCCTCTACCACCTTCTCCTCCTCTCCCCCACCCTCCTCTCAGCCATGTGGCGTCCTCGCAAGGACGAAGCACTGCCAGGGCGTCTGGAACGCGGGAGCGTCGTTGAGGTCGATGGCGCCGGCCTCGCAGGAGGGCTTGCAGCTGGCCCACGAGTCGTCCTCAAGGGCAGCTGCTGCTGCTGTCAGTGCTGGATGAGGCGACGGTGGAGGAGGACGACGAGGGGGACGATGTGTGTGTGTGTGTGTTTGTGTCTGTGGAGGAAGAGGAGGAGGAGGAGGCCGCATGCCTCGATGGCAATGCTTTTAGATGTCCTGGATCCTTCACGTAACACTGCATGGTTTCGTTCTGGCAGCACCGCGACTGCGAGCAATCCTCGCCAAACTCCGAGCACATCTCCGTCGACGTCATGGTCTTCGTGTGCTCTGTCGTTGTAGACGTCGGGCTTGACGTCGTCACCGTGGTCTTGGACAGCGTCGTCGTGGTGACCGTCCACCTGCTGAACTCGGACCGCTCGGTGGTCGTGACGTTCGACGACAGGAACGCGCTGCCCTCGTCCGGGGCGGGACCACAGCCCTGCAAGGACCACGAGACGGCAACAGAGAACAAGGCGACGCAGACGCTGCCGACTGGGCTCATGCTCGCGGGGCGCCCCGCGAGGCACTGGCGACGCTGCTCGGACACGAGGGCAAAGGGGGGGAACTGGAGGGATGACCTGCGCCGAAAACGGCTGCGGAGGGCAACGCCTGAGCGTCCCACCTTCGTGTGCTCCGCTCACGCTTGCGCTTCATCCTCCTCCTCTTCCTCCTCCTCCTCCTCCTTGTCCTCCTCCTCGTCCCCAGCCTGTCCTCATTCTCCTCCTCCTCCTCCGCCACCCCCATATGTGCTCCCCCTTGTCGGTCTGCTTCTGGCGCTGCCGCCGCTACTCATAGTGCCCACGCCCACAGCCACATTGGCCCATGCCCAGAATTACGTTATCCACACTCGCACTTGTCATTGTTCTCACATTCCTGCTCATCCGCATCCAACTAGTCGCCGCATTCCCGCCCCTCCTGCCCCTCGCCCCTCCTTCCACCCTCACGCACTCCTCCCTCCGCCCTCCACCTCCCCTTCCCCCTCCCTCCCTCCACCCCCTCCCTCTCCCCTCCTCCCCCGTCCTCCTCGAGTCGAGGGGCACAAAAAAAAACACCGAGACCTCTCCCGGGGCGCGCCCTGGCCAGAATCTGGAGGAGAACCCCGCCGTGGCGACGAGGACTCTCCGGGGCGAGCAGCGCTATCGGCACCGTCCGACTTGCTTGGACCGGACACGCGAGAGGACACGAGACCCCTCCGAGGGCCACGCTGCCGTGGGAATGCAGAAGGCATGGGTCGCGAGACACAGCATGCAAGGGCACCCTTGATTTGGAAGGGTCGACCTGCTCATCAAGGCCGACTGTATCTCTTCCTCCTCTGATCCTCCCACCTCCGGCGGCGACGACGACGGCGACCGATGACGACCGACGACGGCCGACGACGGCCCCGGAACTGAGGCGGCCCGCCGGAGCAGCGCCGGCGGCCTCGCCCGCGGCCAGCTGCGCCGCCGGCTTGGTGGCCCGGCTCGATCGGCTTCGTTCCGCAGCCTGAGGAGGAGGAGGCGGAGGAGGAGGAGGTGACGAAAGAGGAGGAGGAGGAGGAGGAGAAGGAGGAGAAGGACGAGGACGAGGAGGAGGAGGAGGAGGAGGAGGAGGAGGAACGTCCAGGAGGATCGGACGCTCCTGGCAGGAGGGAAAGATACACGACGGGTCCCGCAGCCGTCCTCCAGCTGCGCCGCCTGCGCTGGCCAGCGCACGAAGTGCGCCGCCTGCACTGGCCCCGACCTGGGAGCTCCCTCGGGGGGCAGAAGCCGAGGGAACCCAGAACAGCGCAGCCCATCCCGAGGAGCAGCAGGGGGAGGAGGGGGAGGACGACGAGGACGAGGACGAGGACGAGGATGATGATGATGATGATGTGATGATGATGATGATGATGATGATGAGATGATTGATGATGATGTGATGTATGCTGTGATGGACGATGATGATGATGATGTTGATGATGACGATAGATGTATGAGATGATGAGGAGGAGGAGGAGGACGAGGAGGAGGTGGAGCAGGACGTAAGAAGTCGAGGAGGCGAGGGAGGAGGAGCGGCGCGCGCCCAGAGGGGGCAGCGGGCCCCCTCCGAAGGTCAGGAGGGCTTCCGCTCGGAGCCTCCTCCGGGCACGGGGCGCTCTTCGGAGGGCTTCGGATGGCCTCAGGCCTCAGAGCACAGGCGAAACCCCTGAGTGCAAGCACTGGTGGGGATGGTGGAAGAATTCCTGGAATTGTGCCGATTTGTTTAGTTGCCCCCCTGGGCCTCCAGCCTATCAAAGGTGGCACCCCTGCGTGCAAGCTCTCTTGGGGGAGTGCGGGAATCTGGAATTTGTGCGATTGTTCGCGCCCCCTAAAGACCTCGGCTCAAGTCCGCCGACCCGGGGTGTGATGTTCAAAGACCCTCAACAGCCTGAGCCTCAATTCCTGAGTTTCAGCTCTACTGGGGGGGGGGGGCGGGGGCGGCTCTGCCGGGGTAGGGGGGGGCGGTTCGATTAAATTCGCGGGGCGGAATCGGAGCTCCAGCTCAGTCCGGGACGGCCCCCCCGCCTAGGACGGCCCCAACATGGGCCAAAAAGGGCCCCGAGTCGCCGAACGATCGCTACAAGACGCCCAGTATGTCCCCAATGCGGTTCCAGAAGCCTCCCAAGTGCCCTCAGAAGCCCTGAAAAGGCCTTCCAAAGAAGACCCCAACAAGCAAAACGTGTTCCATTCCCGAGGGGGAGCGCACAATTTTAGTATGTTCGCCTCTTGGGCCTTCAGAGCGTCGCAGACGCCCCAAGAAAACCCCCAAACGACCCAGGAGGCCGCCAAGAGGGCTCCCAAACGGCCCAAGCACGGCCCAAGATGGCCCATGAGGCCCCCGGCAAGACCCAGGAGGGCCCCAGGACTGGCCCAAGAGGCGCTTGAGAGGGCACCAAGACGGCGGAAGAATTGCCGAAGACAACCCGAGAAACCCACAGCATGCCCCCGAGATGCCTGAAGAGGCCCCAAGATGCTCCCAACTGGCCCCGAAGAAGCACCCTGAAGCCCTCCAAAGGCCCCCAAGAGTTTCAAACAATGCATCCAAGACGCACGCAGACAGCTCTAGCACTAAGCTTTTCAGAGTGCGCCAAATCGGCGAGGCGTCAACCCAAAGAGGGCCAACACCTGGGCCCAAAGAGACTTTCCAGCAACCGCCGAACATCTCCAACAACCGCCGAAAATCTCCACATCCTCGTCATGCTCCTCCTTCTCACCCTCCCCCTTTTCCACTTCCCGCTTCCTCCTGCTCCTTCTCATCCTCAGCAACCTGCTACTCCTGCCCCTCCCCCCCTCCCCCCTCCACCTCGTCATGATCCTCCTCCTCCTCCTCATCATCATCATCCTGCTCCGTTGCCTCCATTCCCAATCCTCATCATCATCATCCTCACCGCTCGCCGTCGTCGCCGGTCATGACCGCCATCGCGCGCTTCCGGCAGCAACGGAAGCGTCCCGGATCGGCGGCACTGGCCGGAGGCCGCTGCAATAAGAATCCCTGCTGCGCCGATCTGTTCGTGCCCCCCGAAGGACCTCGGCTTAAGTGAGAACCCCTACGCGCAAGCTCTGGTGGGGGACTGGCAGGAGTCCTGGAATTTGTGCCGATTTGTTCGTGCCCCCCTAGGCCTCAGCTCAAGTAAGAATCCATGCGTGCAAACTCTATTGGGGGAACGGCGGGAATCCTGGAATTTGTGCCGATGTGTTCGTGCCCCCCTAGGCCTCAGCTCGACTAGCAATCCCTGCGTGCAAGCACTCTTGGGGGAATGGTGGGAATTATTGAATTTGTGCCGATTTGTTCGTGCCCCCCTAATATAGGCCTCCTAGATGGGGTCGGAGTAGATGGGGTCGGAGGATTGCGCCGCATCGCCAATACATCGGCGATGCATCGGCGATGCACCGGCGATCCATCGGCGGCGTCAGCGGAGCATCGGCGCCATCGGCGTGAAGCAGATCGGGCTCCACATCGAGCCGCATCGCCGATGCATCGGCGACACGACGCGATCCTCCGACCCCATCTGCTCCGACCCCATCTGGGAGGCCTAGACCTAAGGACCTCGGCTCAAAGTAAGAACCCCTGCGTGCAAGAACTCTTGTGGGAATGGTGGGCATCCTGGAAGCTGTGCCCATGTGTTCGTGCCCCCCTCAGGACCTCAGCTCTGGTGTCTCCGCGCGGCGCCGACCCGCGCGACTCCTCCGAGGCCTGCCGGCCTCGGAGGAGGAGGAGGAGGAGGAGGCCTCGCGCCTGGCGCTGCGCCCGGTGGCCCGCGGGGGGAGGCAGGCAAGAGCAGGGGGGGAGGGGGGGCGGCGGGCTCCCGAGCAGCAGCACCGCCGCATGCCGAGAAGGCCTCTGCCCCCTCTCAAGTCCCCCTCCGCCCGCGGCGCGCCGCCGCGAGGAGGGCAGGGGCGGCGAGCGACACCGGTGCGGGCGGGGGAGGGCGAGGAGGAGGAGGAGGAGGGGGAGGAGGAGGACGAGGAGGAGGAGGACAAGAGGGAGGAGAAGGGCGAGGAGGAGGAGCAGGAAGAAGGCGAGGAGGAGGAGGAGGAGGAGGAGGAGGAAGACGAGGAGGGGGAGGAGACGGAGGAGGGAGGCGAGGAGGAGGAGGAGGAGGAGGAGGAGGAGGAGGAGGGAGGAGGAGGAGGAGGAGGAGGAGGGGAGGAGGCGGAGGAGGAGGAGGAGGAGGAGGAGGGAGGCGAGGAGGAGGAGGAGGAGGAGGAGGAGGAGGAGGAGGAGGAGGAGGAGGAGGAGGAGGGAGGAGGAGGAGGAGGAGGAGGAGGGGAGGAGGAGGAGGAGGAGGAGGAGGAGGAGAGGAGGAGGAGGAGGAGAGGAGGAGAGGAGGGAGGAGGAGGAGGGGAGGAGGAGGAGGAGGAGGAGGAGGAGGAGGAGGGGAGGGGGAGGAGGAGGAGGAGGAGAGGAGGAGGAGGGGGGGGGGGGGGATGACGAGGGCGAGGAGGACGAGGGCGAGGAAGACGGGGACGAGGATGAGGAGGAGGAGGAGGAAGACGAGGTGCAGAAGGGCGTGGGCGGGGGAGGGCGGGGGAGCGGGGGAGAGGAGGAGAAGGTGGAGGGGGAGGGGGGCGGGGGAGGGCGACGAAGAGGAGCGGGAGGAGGAAGGGCAGGACTGGAGGGGGGGGGGGAAGGAGGAGGGTAGGGGAGAGGAGGAGGAGGAGGAGGAGGAGGAGGAGGAGGAGGAGGAGGAGGAGGAGGAGGGAGGAGGGAGAAGGAGGGGAGGAGGGAGGAGGGAGGGAGGAGGAGGAGGAGGAGGGAGGAGGGAGGAGGGAGGAGGAGGAGGAGGAGGAGGAGGAGGAGGAGGCGGGGGAAGAGGAGGAGTGGTAGGGGGCGGAGGAGGAGGAGGAAGAAGAGAACCAGTGGTAGGGGGGCGGAGGAGGAGGAGGAGGAAGAGAACCAGTGCAAAACCAAAGAGTCATCAAACATGTTTCAATGTAACCCCCCCCTCCAAATTCCCTCTTCAAAAGTCCCTACCAAAATTCATTGCCACTGAAGGAAGGGTCCCGTGGGAAAGCAACCGTCTGAAAATCCCGGACTGTGTCAGAACACCATCCCTGGGACGTCAAAGCCGCGAATCAACCGACCCTTCCGCCATGA